TTTACTTCCTCTTCAACACTTATTGAGCACTTTAAGGACATTTCGTATCACTGCTATGCAGATGATATTCGGTTATATATCTCCTTTAAGCCCCATGATGTTTCCAAGCTACAGATTTTGCACAAGTGCATAGACTCCATTAGATGTTGGATGGCTGGAAACTTTCTTCAACTAAATGAGGAGAAGACTAAAGTTCTTGTTTGTGCTCCTAAAAATTTGTACCTAGTGTTATGGAAAACTTGGGTCCACTTGCTACATTTGCAAAACCGTCTATCAGGAGCCTTGGTGTTAGTATTGACTCAGCTCTGACTTTGGATGCTCATGTAAAATCTTTGGTTCGCTCCTGTTTTTATCACTTGAGAAACCTTGCTAAGCTGAGTCCATTGTATCGCGCTCCGAATTAGAAATTGTCCTTCATGCATTTGTTTCATCTCGTCTGGACTATTGTAATTCTTTGTTTACTTGTTTATATAAAGCCTCTTTGGAGCGTCTACAAGTTGTTCAGAGCGCTGCTGCAAAGCTTCTGACCAAGTCCTCCAAGTTTTCCCATGTCACACCCCTGCTGATTGAGCTGCACTGGCTCCCCGTTAAATTCAGAATCCAGTTTAAGGTTTTGACCTTGACTTTCAGGGCTCTGCATGGACAAGCACCAACATATATAAGTGAACTTTTACATCCATACATTCCCAGCAGGTCCCTGAGGTCATGTGACCAGGGCTTGCTTGCTGTCCAACACACGAGGCTGAAAACAAAAGGCGACAAAGCTTTTGGAATTGTGGCCCCCAGATTGTCGAACTCTCTCCCTTTGAGCCTGAGATCTGTGGACTCAGTGGTCGCTTTTAAAAAACAGCTAAAAACCCATCTTTTTAAACTTGCTTTTGGTTGATTTTTATTTTTAGGTTTTAGCTTCTGTGAAGCACTTTGTGATTTTTATCTTGAAAGGTGCTATATAAATAAAGTTTTACTTACTTACTTACCATCTGCCACTTCATCAGGAGCATCTCCAGGCATTGTAGGGAGGTCATACAGGCACATGGAGGCAACACACAAACAGTACTTAGCCTCATTTTGACTTGTTTTAAGGACCTGACATCAAAGTCGAATCAGCCTGTAGTGTGTTTTTCCACTTTCATTTTGAGTGTGACTCCAAATCCAGACCTCCTTGGTTGTTAAATTTGATTTCCGTTGATAATTTTTGTGTGATTTTGTTGTCAGCACATTCAACTATGTAAAGAACAAAGTATTTACAGTTTTTCTCGATTGCTTAAACACTATAACCAGGCTTTTAAACTAAAATTTCAAAACCGTAACGCTATTTTTCAAAAAGCTCACCCATTTCCCTGAACTATAAACACTATTCCCTGCTTTGACACATGAGTCAAATTTGGTGAACTGTTACTGCAAAACTCTACACACAAATCCCTACATTTTTCAGTGCTTACACCATGTAGTCATTTAGAAAGCACTAGCATTCAATAATGTTAACTTAAGTCAGCATAGCTTGAGCTCAATTAGCACACAATTAACCAGGTGGAAACACTAGGAGTCAAAGTTTATCACACACCAATCAGAACCTTCGATGGATAGATAAAAGGGCCAAAGTCAGCTCATTCAGGTTTGAAACAATGGATCCAAAGAGATGCAAAGGAAGAGGACGTGGTGGAGAAAGAGGACGTGGTGAAGGAGGAGGACGTGGTGGAGGAAGAGGACATGGTGAAAGAGGAGGACGTGGTGAAAGAGGAGGAGGAGGTGGAGGAAGAGGACGTGGTGAAAGAGGAGGAGGAGGTGGTCTAGGACAACAGGAAGGTGGTGGAGGAGGAGGGAGAGGTGGAGGAGGAGGAGGACGTGGTGAAGGAGGTGGAGGTGGAGAACGACGGCGACAAGGAAGGGGAAGAGCAAGGGCAAGAAGACAGTCAGTCTCGGATGAAATTCGAGCCACTTTAGTTGACCATGTCCTTGTCCATGAGGGAGGCTGGGCAACGAGTACAACCAAATTTGAGTCGCTTCACTGTTGCCTCCATCATCAGAACCTTCAGGGAGGAAAACAGGTAGGTGTACTTGCAGTAAGACTGCTTTGTACAGTAACTTTTAAGTTACTGAACTTATGTTTCTTGAGTTTCAGTATGTTTCCATTATTTTCCTGTAAAAAGAATGTGTGACAGTTACAGTAATGAGTGCTTCTATTTTTGTAGGACACAGAGACGACCACCTGGTGGAGGCAGGTTAAGGCTTTTGTCGGAGGAGCAAGAGAGGGAACTTGTAAACATGGTAATTGCAAATAATGTAATCCGCCTGCAAGAGATTCAAAGGAGAGTGATTGAGGATGATCATCTTTTTCGAGGCATAAATGCCATCAGCCTCTCCACAATTAACCGCATCCTCCGAAAGAATCAATTCCGGATGAAACAGGCATACCGAGTCCCTTTCGAACGAAACTCTGACAGAGTGAAAAACCAACGTGTGGAATATGTTCAGGTATGAGTTTTGATACTGTATAAAGTATTGTGTACCATCACAGCATGGCAGTTTATGCTGCCATTTCAGCACTCTTGAACTGTGGTTCAGGGTACCGATTGACTCTACTGTGTTATGTGTTTTGCAGAGAATCTTTGAGATTGAAGGACGGCCTGTTCCCCATGAAATAATCTTTGTGGATGAGGCAGGTTTTAACCTGACCAAAAGAAGGAAAAGGGGGAGGAACATAATTGGCCATCGGGCTATTGTAAATGTCCCTGGTCAGCGTGGAGGGAATGTCACTATGTGCGCAGCCATCAGCCAACGAGGGGTACTCCACCGCCATGCCGTACTAGGACCCTATAACACTATGCTTCTCCTTGCTTTTCTTGATGGTTTAAGACAACATATGTTCCAGCTGGACTACAGGGAACCAGCACAGCCAGAGCAGCCTCACTACGTTGTTGTGTGGGATAACGTCAGCTTCCATCGCGCTGCTCTGGTTCGTGACTGGTTTACCAATAACCCAAAGTTTTCTAATATCTTTCTGCCTGCATACTCTCCCTTTCTAAACCCGATAGAGGAGTTATTTTCGGCATGGCGGTGGAAAGTGTATGACCGAGAACCTTATGTCCGTGTTCACCTCCTTCAGGCCATGGAAGAAGCCTGCCTAGACATATCAGTAGATGCATGCCAGGGGTGGATCAGGCATGCAAGAGGATTTTACCCCCGCTGCCTGGCTAGGGCCAATATAGCCTGTGATGTGGATGAGATTCTCTGGCCTGACCCAGACCAAAGACAAGATGCTGAGGTGGAATAATGTTTTTTGGTGTGTGTTGTACTGTATAGTACATGAATAAAAATGTGCCACTGTACATACATTGGTTGCGTCTTTTGTGTTTATCATGTGAAAAGGTTTTTGAAGGGGAGAACCATAAGCAACCTAATTGTTTTGGAACTATTGTTTTGAATTAATTGTACCAGTGTGCAAAACTCTGTTGTAGTGTGTGTGTTTTGAGGGCTTGTGTTTGATGTCTGAGGGCAAAGTTTGGTTTTTCAGCAAGAGTGAATAGTTTTGAGTGTAGAGCTTCATTTTGACCTGGAAATAGGATGTTTGGGAAATTGAGTGAGATGTTATGGATTTGTGTTTACTGTTGTGAGAATATGAGGCATAGTTTCAAGAAATGTGTTTTAGCAATCGAGAAAAACTGTAATAAGAATATTTCATTCATTCAGATCTGGGATGTCTTATTTTTCCATCCATATTCAGAAGACTGACTAAAATTTAAATAAGTTGGGCAACTTTAGATGTTGTGTTCCGGCACAATGACATGAAACCAGAGATCTATAAATGACAACAATCTACAGGGGTCACTGTGACTCAATGAAACGAATCGTTACAAACAAAACAAAACAAAAACCCACTGCTGCTTTCATCACAACGCCAACATTTCGTTTGTAAAAATTAAATACCCGCACATTTTTATGATTTGTCTAATAGCACAATTCCTTCCTTACTTTTAAGTTTTATTTAACATTCTGACTGTATTTTATATTTTGACTGATTACATTGTTGTTATTTTGTACAGAGGCAGCATTGCAAATAAAAGCAGTGAATGTAAGTTTTTGCATATATATTCACACACGTAGAACCTAAAGCTGGTGCGCCAAAATGTCATACCAGGAGGTCCTTTGAATACAACGGGGAAGCAAGTGAATCAGAAACCCAGAGACCAAACACGTCTAACTGGGAAAAAAAAGTATTCCCAGATGCAGAAAGCAATAATAAAACCTGATTTAAAAGACAAAAAAAAAAGAAACTTGCCATAAAATTCGTTGTTCGTTGTACACCAAAATCCCACACATTCCCGCCAGTCCATTGTCCAACAACCCAAGACGAATATTCCTTGTGTGTAAAAGTTAGAGACAGGAACTCCTCTTCTGACGTGGGGACCACCCCAGCCTAGTCCCAGGAGGACGAGGGAAAAAACAAACAAAACACCAATCTCACGCCTCAACAGGTGCCTGCTATTAGCTAAACAGTCCCATGTCCAGCCAGCCCACAATGGATTAGAACAACGTTATATATTTATATAATAAAACAAACAACTAGAAACATGCAATACAAATATCAGAATAAAATCATGCAAATAAAATCAAAACTACACTCACAGGCAAACACTAAAATCAGAATAAAACTAATCATACAGACACAAATAAACATATGTATGTATATATATATATATATATATATATATATATATAGGGCTCAGAGAAGAGCTCGAGAGGATGTGGAGGGTGAAGGTAACGGTGGTCCCCGTGGTAATCGGAGCACTAGGTGCGGTGACTCCCAAGCTAGGCGAGTGGCTCCAGCAGATCCCGGGAACAACATCGGAAATCTCTGTCCAGAAGAGCGCAGTCCTGGGAACAGCTAAGATACTGCGCAGGACCCTCAAGCTCCCAGGCCTCTGGTAGAGGACCCGAGCTTGAAGGATAAACCGCCCGCAGGGGCGTGCTGGGTGTTTTTTTTTTTTTTTATATATATATATATATGAAAGAAATACAGTCTCTACATTTACAGTTACAAACTGAATCAATGTTTAATTTAATGACTGACTATGTGGACTGTCAGCAGTGAAAGCCACATTCTGCCTGGTGTCTCTCTCTCTCTTCTTCCTGCGCACATTTTCACAGCGCAAAAGATTCAAAAGATGCTTTCGCAACTTCTTTGAGAGCATATATAGCAGAGGGTTCATACAGCAGTGAGAATAGGCAAGCATTTCACTAATATGGTAGGCAACTTCTAACCGTTCCTCTGCCTTGCAACCTTTGGGTTTATAAAGGGAAGTAATTAAAAGCATAATATGGTATGGCCCCCAGCAAATGAAAAAGGCTGCAACAATACACAACAGCACAGCTATAGTCTTGTGCTTCTTTCTATTTAAACCTTGTAAAACTGTCTTGAGGATTGCAGAATAGCAAAAAATAATGATGGCCAGTGGGAGGAAGAATAGCAGTGACACTTGGAGATAATGTCCAAGCTTGTCTTCAGATTCATCATAGCAATAGTTTTCACCATCCAAGTTTTCAAACTTTACTTTTGTTGCATCCGTCAGGGACGCTGAGATGCTGATGATCCAGGCAGCTATACAAGCACCAACTGCACACTTCTTTCTTAGAGCACGATTATTTTTCCAGTTTGGCAGCACCACCCTAATGAAACGTGCCACTGTCATGGCAGTCAGCAGAATGACACTGCTGTACAAACCAACAAAGAATGCAGCAGTCATGAATTTGCAGATAAAGTCCCCAAAGACCCAGTGGTGTAGGTGATGAACAGCCCAAAATGGAAGTGTGATGGTGAAGATCAAATCAGAGCAGGCCAGGTTCAGGATGAAAATATTTGTGATACTTTTCAGGCCCTCGTAGATGAAAAGAACACATAAGAGCAGGCTGTTGCCTATGATACTGAGGATGAAGATCAAAATGAAAAGGGGTCCAGTGATGGTGGGAGCATTAGTATCACACATGTATTCAGCATCATTACTCAGTCCAGATGTGACGCTTGCCATTTTCAGTTTTCTGGAAAAAAATAAAACATACATACAAAATAAAATGCAACCAAACACAATCACAATTCTCTAAAATGACAGAAACTGTTGATTTTGTTTCTAGTTTTTGTATAACAGATAAAACCAAAGGGATTAAAGTACCCAATTTTTGAAAAAAACACTGATGAAGATTAAGATGAAGAAAGTCCCAGTAAAAATTGGAAATTCAACTCTACAAATGTAATGTACAGGATCCCTCACTCCATCATTAGCTGTCATGTTGTTTTCCATTTTTAATTTTCTATAATTAAACACATTAGCTTAGCAAATCTGCCTTAAATGAGAGAAACATGTACTTTAGTTTTTGTATAGTAGTAAAGCATGAAGCGTAATTAAGTACCAAATTCAGAGTATAACTATTACTGATAAACTTACCGTAAGCATCAGTTGTCATGTCTTCTGTTGAATTTCAGTGTGACGAAAAAGCTGTGATGTTTTTGGAGATTAAAAAACAAGAAGAGACGCCGCGTTACAAAAACCATGTCATGTCCCGTCATCTCATGAAAAAACAAAATCACTTGGGCAACCTTTTTCCTTCCCCACATGATGCAATATGAAAACAATCACCGCTTTTTTTTTTTTTTTACATTTGGCCTGAACATACAGGTTGTGCACTGAGCGTGAGAGCAAGAGATGCTATAGGCTGATAGCAGCAGTTCAACCATTTAAGCAAGGCAACAGTAAAAAAAAATAAAAATAAGCCGAACAACAACACCCAATATATTTTCTGTTAAATTTATGCAGCTTGCAAGTGCAGTCAGTATAGAAATATAACTGCAAAGACTCCAAAATGATACTGTGCATAATGTTAGGCTGTTTTCAGAGCCACTTCTGTGAAATAAGTTACAAACTAAGTATCAGATATCAGTCCTCTTGTTCAGGAAACTGTGGTTGCATTTAATTTAACTGTCGTAATTTGCAAGACATGCAGACTGAATATTGAATGGATAACCAATATGCAGACATGCAGAGGTAGAGTGAGGTAAATTTTAAAGCAAGCTATTAATTTCCAGCCTGTTGAAATCCAAAAAGGCAAAAGCCAAAATGGCAAAAAACACAATCCAAAACAGTGAAACTGAAACTACAGCTACCAAAACCTAAAATTAAAGAAATACACAGACTGAAATATTTAACTACAGAAAACACACCGGAGATACCAAAAAAAATGAGGCATGAGGCAGATTTTGAAATACAATCAAACATTCTGACATGAGAAAAAGGGGAGACAGCGACTAAATGGGTGATTATATGAGTGGAGACGGCCGAACAAGACAGCAGAAGAAGTCATGGCTGCAAAACTAGAAGCAAAAGCATAAGGAATTCATAAAGGAACATGGAAAACAGACACATGACTGGACTAAATACAAAAGACTAGACACAAGAGGAAGGGACACTCAGGTAAAAACTAAACTCTGAAGAAAATGAGAACTAGGCACAGAAATACACAAACGAATACATAAAGTAAATATAAACATTATAAACAACTCAATAACTGGGTAAACTAACAGGAGCTTCCTCAGCAACAAGCTATTTTACTTATAAAAATGTTACATTATAATATCTTAAAATGATCAAGGCTTCTTGGTAACCGTATTCCAACATGCAGATCACACGCTCTCATTAGGATGTTAATGCACGAGTGAGGTCAGTCATGGTGCTCATAGTTTACATAACCAAAACTCAGTAATTTTGGCTGAATTAAAGGTTTATTTCATGCATCTATTTAACTATTATTAAACATTGTTAGTGGGTTTTAATGGCACTGAAAACCTACTTTTATACTAGGTTTTTTGTTCTTTTTTGTTTGATTTGTTTTGTTTTTCTTTTCTCACCTTTCTGCCTCATACGGATCCAAACCGGTTACCTTGGATTTCTCTGTTTTTCATCCAATAAGAAGAATTGCCTCAATAATTCAACGTAGTGACGTCCTCCTCATCAGTAGAAGATAAACGGTGGAAAATAGCACACTGTGGCTGTGTCTCAGTTCAGGGGCTGCATCTTTCGGAGGCCACATTTCAAGGCCGATTATGTCACAGAAAGGCGACGAAGGCTGTCCCAATTCGAACGCTGCTCCAAATGTGGCCGACAAATGCGTCCTTCATTTCGCTGCACTTGAACGATGGGTCGGGTGTATCCTTCGTGGTCCAACCTATCCCAGAATTTTCTGGGACAGGTTTTTCCCATATTTTTAGGTGAGAATGTAGCTGTGTAAACTTCAAATATCTGCTCAGTTTATCGAGACATCACATATTTGCAAAAGTGCTCTGACGTTTTCGGAATTACCCACCAACTCGATAGCTGACCAGGTGGTCAAGGTTCAATAGAGCCGGCTAACACCGGACTCCCGGCACATCGTTTTCAGACCCCGCGGGGTCTCTTGCTACTCGGGTTAAACATGATATATAAGTCACTAAGATAACTTTAAAATTGTATTGTTTGGCTTTTTTCAGTGTTTTATTTGTTTGCGAGTAAATCGGTTTGGCTGAGATTAAAGTTACAGTTTTTATACAGCTGAATAAACATCAAACAGAAAACTGATTAAACAAAAGTGTGAGATGGTCGAGAATTTACTCCATTGTCCTGTTATATTTTAGATAACAAGGAGCAGACGGCTGGGTTTATTAAACTCCACCGAGACAGCGGTGATGCAAATCTGAAGGCTAGTCGGTCCCATTTCAGAGGTCTTTGAAGGACCCGGCCTTCACGGTCTATGTGGGCCGGGTCCTCCAAAGGATGCAACTCCTGAATTGAGGCACAGCTAATATGTCTGGGTGCCCAGGATTTCTTCCTCCATAAAGTAATCTAGCAAATCACCAAGTGATAATCAGTGGACAGCTCATGTCTTCACTTAACACTAAGCTCGTGAGTTTTGAAAACCTACCTGTTACAACGACAGAGTAATTTGCTTGTATATCTAACAAAATTTTAGCAACCTAAAAAGTCTAAGTTGTATGAATTTATTAGGAATCATTTTTAATGAAATTAGGATATGAAAATAACCACAATATACCATGTGAGGAAAATATCTCAATTTGAAAATTTGAACCATGGGAAAAAACATGGAAATAAAATCTGTAGCTTTGTGCTAGTTTAATTTTAGTATGTTTGTCTCCTGTTTTATGCCTTAGAAATGTCATTAACCCATATCAGTTTGATGATCTGTGTTTGATGTTATGTTTTTGCATTTATGTGTATTAATATCATGTTTACATATTTTCAGCAAGAAATACTTTCCTTCCAAAAGGATACTGGGGTTTCTGCCTTTTTATTTATTCAAATTTTAGATACCCTCATGCTTTACACAAAAAAACAGAACAAAAGTTACATTTGTTTTTGAGTCTGTTTCAGTTAGTAAAAAAATATATAAAATAAACAAAGATTTTATTGTTTATTTTCAGTGTAAAGAAAAAAGAGGATGTTGCTCAAGTCACCATATGGGTTTTGTATAGCTGGCACAATAGACAGTTATTTCCCAGGATTATTTTGATGAAGCTTCATTTTTCATGTGAAAAATTGTTGCACAAGTTAATTTAAACCTTTTTTTTTCATGATGTCGTTTTTGGGTTTTTTGTGTAATCTCTGACTTAGTGGGAAACAAAAACAGGAACTAATACATTTCAAAAGAACATCCATTTCACAGCATTTTCACAACAGTGAAATTTAATGGAAGACTTGACAGTTGTTTTTTGAAGTAAGTTGTTGTGTCTGTTTTCTGAAATTTGGTACTTTATTAGTCCTTTTGGTGTGATATATGTGAAAGATCCACAACAGACCCAAACGCATTTTCATGCTTTTCAGCTCACTGTCGACCACATACCAACAACAACCACAACAGGACCTAGTTCGGTCTATTTATGCCGGTGAGGTGTGTGTGTTGACACCGCTCACCTCCCCCACAGCTGCACCGCACACAAAGCTCTGCCACAATATAATATACAAAATAGAACCAAAATCAACAGTTTCTGTCATTTTAGAGAAAACTGCTCAATCATTGTGTTCAATTGTGTTTTAAGTTCATATTTACCAGAAAATTCAAAATGGCAAACTTCACATCCACTGATGACAAAGTGAGTGATCATGCTGTATACATTTGTTATGCAAGTTTTGCAAGGTTTTGCTAAGCCTCGCAAAACCGTCTTGAGGGTGGCAGAGAGGTACAGGATTATAGCTCTGCTTTTATTGTCACATCACATGTTCTGGTACACTGGTACAGCACATATGAGTGAAATGCTTGCGTGCAAGCTTCACAAGCAACAGAGGTGTGATACAATAAACATAAGACACAACTAAATGTAAGAGCAGGAATGTCAGAATTTTAAGAATAAATATATGTACAAATATAAGAATGTATGCACATTACTAGATATTTATACTAATTATATATATACAAATAAAATAAAATAAAATATACAGAGGTCAGCAGTTGAATATTGTGCAAAAGAAATTGCATAGATGTATGCATAATGTCAAAGTTGCCTGATGGAAAAAGCTGTCTCTCAGTCTGCTGGTTCGGGACCGGATACTCCAGTACTTCCTGGCTGACGGAAATAGTTTGAACAGTTTGTGGCTGGGGTGACTGGAGTCTTTGATGATCCTCCCTGCTTTCCTCAGGCACCACTTTTTGTAGATGTCCTGGAGGGAGGGAAGCTCACCTTCAATTATCCGTTCAGAGTACCGCACCACTCTCTGGAGGGTGGTGCAACACTCTATTATTGCAGCCTTTTTCATTTGCTGGGGGCCATACCATATTTGGCTTTTAATCACCTCTTTCTATATACCCAAAGATTGTAAGGCACAGGAATACTAGCATATCGCTTACAATATTTGTGAAAAACATACGTATTCTCATTGCTGGGTAAAACCTCTGATGTGTATGCTCTCGCAGAAGTTGTGAAAGCATCTGTTGAATCATTTGCGCAGTGAAAATGTGTGCAGGAAGAACAGAGAGACAGACACTGGTCAGACTGTAGATTTCACTGCACAGAGATCTGCCGTTCAGTTGGAATTGCACAACCTTCCATTAAACAGCCACTTGTTAAATTAAATGTTGATTCAGTCTGTAAATACTTTCATACAATACACTTTGTATTTATTTAATGTCACAACTTTTGCATAATCGCTTGAAGTCATCCATTTCTATTTTTCACTTTTTAATGCTTCAAGTCAAAGTTTTGTACAGCTAAAGATGTGCATTTTAATGTTGCACTACTGTTCCTGGAGATAATAAAATGCTGTCAAAATCCTATGAAGCTGTTTTTATTTTTCTCTTTTCTTTGAAATCTGTGACATGTGACTTTAGGTTAGACTGAAAAATATTCCATTGTCATCGGTCACCGAGGAAAAACATTGAGTAATACCTAGAGTGAAATGGACTCCACACACAAGCATTTGTTGTCACAGGATCACAGCAGACTCATTTCATATTTGATGCCATTTGACA